ACAAGCCCTGCAACTAGTTGTGATTACAACACCAAAAACTCAGGTTTTACAAAAATGAAACAGCGAGTCTCATTCATACATTTATATATGTATGTACAAACATATGTACACATATGAATGTGCATATGTACAGACATACATATTTTGAGCTAACTGAAATAAGTTGCTGCATCGCTGTTGTTTGCAATCATTGCAATATTTGCGGCTACAAATTTGCTCATAAATAGGTGCACCAATACATGAAAAAAATAGCAGTATTTATGAGCAGCGTGGGTATTGCGACGCCAATCACCTCGCCTGCAGCCACACTTGCGATTATTTTTAAAATATTACATCGGTTTTTGGAGCAAAATACACACACACACAATGGTAGACATTGATGGCTGCCAACTGCTTCCGACGACGATTTCGCTTGCTGACCGCTGCCCACTTGGCGTGCGTGGCAGAGTGGAAAAGCCCGTTTGGCCAGTGCACTTTTTGATTTTTGCAGCGCGTTGTTACCATTTGCTTCCACACATCCTGAATTGAGGAAAAAAATAATTAATGAATACATAATTTTTATGGAGAAAAATATGCGAATCAAATAATCTGGCAAACTGAGCATCGACTGTGTGCAATTTGTTGGAGCAATTTTGCAGCTAAAATAAATAATTGTTGTTGCGTGACTTTCGATTACGTAAGCAATGCTAGTTACATGCAAGCATACATACATACACACATTTTTTTCGACGCTAATCAATGGCGAGTGAAAGATTTTCATAATTTGGTACAATCAACGATCCATTGTTCGAGTTAGCTCTCGACTTTGTGGTCTCTGAAGTCTTTTTGCAGCGAATTTTGCCCTAAACAAAGCGGTCAACAAGTTAATATTTGATCGAAGCAACAATACCAACAACAAAGCGATAAAATGTGGTGTAAACTCAACGTGTCAGAACAGCAATTCAGAAAAATGACCTCATAAATTTGATCTGTTTGCGCTGGCGGGCAATAAGCAATAAAAACAATGACACAAATTGCCAAAAGACAAAATAACTGGCAACTGAAAAAAAAAAAAATCGCTATTGTGTTTCTCGGCAAATGACAGAATTCAATATTAATAAGCCAAAATTAAAGAATTAGCAAATTTAACAAAGGGGAAACAACTCATAAAGCTTACAAATAAGGAAACGATTTTTTCGCAGCTGGTAGCAAGAGGGCGATTATTAATTAAAAAATGGCAATATGGCAATATTTTCGGTTTATTTATTATTTTACAATACGAAGAAAATTTGTCTTAACTTTTAAGAAATAATTGGATAATGAAGTCATCTACATACAAATTTAAAATTCCATAGCAGAGTAGTGAGGCGTGCGTACCACTACTGGATAGGATCCAGGTTCGAAAACAGGATAGGTTACATTCAAGAAATGGAAGTAGTTTTTTTCTGGTAGGCATCGGCTTTCCGACCGTATTTGTCGTTCGGAGACAGCTTAAAACTTTCTGCCCTTTATGACTTTTTACGGGTAGAGTGAAAGAAAAAAATATAACATAACATAGCATTTACCGACAGCCGCACAGCAGTTTACAAGTGGAGGAAGTCCACTGTGGTTGATGAAGTTCTAGGCATGTCTCCTAACACAATTTGAGTTTTTTCTGAAAAAAATCGGGCTAGCAGTATTCAAAGCGCAAGGGAAATCAGTGTTGTACATATGAATCGTAGGCATTCGAAAAAACTTTTAATAACTCAATAATTGTAGTTGAATGATCTGTTGTTGTTGGATTAATCTCTGGCTTTTTTCCACCTGCCTCAATATAGTCGAAACACTGTCCGCCGATTTAATAAAGGTGTTCATATTTTGATTTGAGATGGTAGTTGAAAAAATATTTGAAATTAATTTTACCGTACAAAATTAAAATAAAATATCAGACCATCAGTATCGAACAGAAGGTGTTTGAAATGGCTCCCTAATTAATTTCGATTAAAGTCAATCAGCGAAAGGAGGCCCAAACACCCATTTTAAGAAATTCACAGTCAAAACAAAACATTACCACCTCACTTCACTTTACATATATATATACATACACACATACATCGTAGTTAACAAACTTGATTTATTATAAGTAGCACTTATCGCGGGTAGTCGCTCGTAGCCCCAGCTATTGACCACAACGTCAATTGCCATGGCCACTGTCACTTTTTGTGTTGTTGCCGCCTCCTCTCTCATTCCTCCGGCTGTTGCATAACATCGCGCTCGCTTATTACTATTGTTGTTTGTTGTTTGTTGTTCTTGTAGTTACCACCATATGGTCGTAGCCAACTGCAACATGCAAACGCAATCGCTCGGGCTAATCTTCACGACGACGACGAACGGAAATGATTTAATGCAAATAAAGGCAAAATGAAACCACCTTCCATATAGATAATGATCGACCGCAGACGATGCGCAGCAACTGGTTTGATTTTTTTTTATTTTATTTTTTTTTTGACGCTCGTGCGCCAATCGAGCGTTTCTTGTTTTCCGCTGGCGCCTCGAAGCCACAATGGCCAAAGTCAATAGCAGCAAATCACAGCAACAACAAAGAAACAAACATCACTACAGCTACAGCAAAGCCCCATAAAGTCTGCAAGCTTTTTGTTTACATTCGCAACGGCTTCTTCGATCTCCGCCGCTTCTGTCTCTGCATTTGCCATCCCATCTGCCTCTCTGTGTGTTGCCATTTGCAGCTCATCACTTCGAATTTTTATTTGTTTGCTGAAATAGTTTTGTGGAGCTGCCGGTTTTTATTTGTTTACATTTTCGAGCGCTGAAACATTGCGGCTGATATCCAACCCTGTGATTGTTGTTGTTGCCATTGGCCGCATCTTCCAAAGCAGCTTATCCACTTGTTGACACGTTGACGTCACACCACAACCAATCAAGATGCCATTGCTTGCGTACAAATATACTCGTTCATACATACATACATACATATGGAGTATTTATGTGGTCAATAAGTGATGAAGCGTAGCGAAAAGAGGCATGTTTGGATAATTTTTGTGAATGAATGGCCATTTGACGGTAAATTATTTGAGTGGATGAGCGCCGCCGCGTTGATTGAGTGAGTCCTAATGGTGCGTGAATGGCCGATCGAGCATGTTTCATTATACTATATACATATTTTAATTGTGTATGGCTAAATATTTGACGCTTGTCGTCACATCTTGAATTGCGTAGAGTAATACTCGTCGTTTGAGTGATTCGCCATTAAACGGACGGATGCAATTGTTTGCATTTGTGTGTGTGGTAGCAAATTGTTTAACTCGAATGTTTGAAAGCAGGCGATAAAATCGTTCACTGTTGGTGGGAAAAAATAAAAACAGATAAAAAAACGATTGTTCAGAGATATGAAATTAATGGTAAATGCTTGGTGGTTCATCTGATACGCCATACTGGCCGTATTTTTCACATTGGTAGTAGTAGGTAGGTACCACAATACACGTTTTTGTTTTCAGTTACTGTGGGCGAACAAGAATCCAGTGGCAATTTGCTAATGGCAAATGTTATATAAGTAAATAAATAAGAATATTGAAGTGCATGGCCTTAAAGTAAGGTAAATGAATAAAGTATGTATAGCTGATTCCGCGTTAATATATTTACTTACATATGTACATATTTATGTATCCACGTTAGTTGGTAAATATATACATACAGTGACGAACAAAAGTATTGGCACAGTGAATTTTTCGCAATATTTGCCAAGTTTTTCATTCTAATTTATTTTCGATAATTTTTTATAAAAATATAGTTCATTTTACACCAAAAAAACATAAAAATAAAATCTCTAAACTTTGTGCAAAACTCAGGAAAATTCATTAAATTGGCACACTAATTTGCACTTTTTATTCAGATTTTTTTTTTTAATTCTAAGTATGCAGTTTTATAGCCCATTCAAACTTAGTATAACAATGTGCAAGCTTGAAGACGCTAGAAAATCGCGTTGATTTTTGGAAAGTTTTTTAGTGGAAGGTGTTGTTCATTTTCTCCTTACAAAAATCATTGTCGAATATACTTTGTATGGAAGAACTTGCCTGAAAAAAAAATTACCAAAAATCAACGCGATTTTCTAGCGTCTTCAAACTTGCACACTCTTATTCTAATTCGAATGGGCTATAAAACTGCATACTTGGAATTTTTCTAAAAAATCTGAATAAAAAGTTGCAAATTACTGTGCAAATTTAATGAATTTTCCTGAGTTTTGCACAAAGTTTAGAGATTTTATTTGTAGGTTTTTTGGTGTAAAATGAACTATATTTTTATAAAAAATTATAGAAAATAAATTAGAATAAAAAACTTTGCATATATTGCGAAAAATTCGCTGTACCAATACTTCTGTTCGGCACTGTATGTACATTTATTCTACATCATAGTTTTATTTGACTCTGAAAATGCTAAAGCGAATGTTTCTATACTTTTCGGAATTTGTTTTAAAATAAAGTTAAAAAATATGGCTTCAACAAGTATAATATATGCGTACATACATACATATGTATATACGATATTTACTACAGTACCCTGCCAAACGATTAGAAACAGTACTAAGATGTTTATAGTTTCAGCTGTCACGGGTGGGACACGCTTCACTGTTGAATTATTCTTAACTAACAATGTGAAAACGAAAATGCAATTGTGGTAAACATTTGCAATGAAGTTCTCACATTATGTAACAAACCCCAAACAAAACTTCAACTTCTGTAATTAAATATTAACAATTGTTGGCTTTTTTTGTTACGGGCGGAACAGGACCAATACTGTTTAATAATACTCATAACATAGATAAATCACTCACACAATTTAATATAGAACAGAATGTTATTAAAAACAGATGAATTCTACTATATAACAAACACTTGAATTATGAATCGGAAATTATTTGCCGGTACTTTCAACAGCTCACTCAAAAAATTTACTTAGAACTTGATTTCAAAACGTAAAAAAGATGATAAAAATGCATTTAAAGCTTTAATTTGTTATTTTTTTTGTTGATTCAAGATTTTTACATATGCGAAGAAAAATTGGATGAGCAAAGCCTTTTGGTTAAATCTTGCTCCAGTCTATTTCAAAAATTACTCTGGTGAATTTTCGCCCTTTTTCTCGCTTCCCTCTGAGCTGCTACTCTTTACATCGTCCTTTTCATCATCTTTTTTGCCATAGTCCGAAAATGTTAGATTCACGTCGAACGGGCTATGTCGAAATACGCCAACCGGAGTGTAGTTGTATGGTATGGGCCAAGGTAGCAAATCCGTATCCAACACAACCGGTATGCGATTGTACATAAGGGCACGACGTTGCACGCTGCAGTAGAATCGGTTACACGCCAGCACAAGTTCAATGCGCTGCACCTCGGGCAGAAGTCTGTTGAATATGTTTGCTGGCAAGGGTTCTTCCGCTTCGAGAGTGAGACGCCCTGGAGCAACTGTAGTACCTTTCAACGAAGATGTGGCTGGGTGAATAGAGGCTTCCTGTTCGTTCTGCACCTTTTCCGCCAGGGCTTCGCATAGGTCGTGCAATTTTCGCTTGATCGTCAAGTGTTGTTGTCCCATTAGCTCAATGTCGGTTATTGTGTGGGCTGGAAACTTTTCATTGATGTTAATTTGTGCTGCCCGTCGACTATGGAACGCTTGAAAATAAGTCTGCAAGAGTCACAATTCTCATTTTCTTTTGTTGGAATGTTGGAATGTTGGTTTGCGTTGGCACTTACCTCTGCTGTGCGATCTTCAGTGAGGAAAACTTTGTTGGCTTGAAAATATTTATCAGCAATTGCACTTAAATGAGCACAGAAGCCGCCGACAATGTCTTCAACGCACTCAAACACGAGTATAGAGTAATCGCCCATGTATATGAAACACCCAGTGGGCTTATCACCCGAAATACTATCATCGGCAAAGAGCTTTAAAATCCGTTTTAATTCCGCTTGAAGGTATATCTTGAAGTCGGCTTCCTCGACTCGCGACGGGGGCTCTACATTCAAATTGTTCTTCGCTAGTATGTAGATGCGTTGGTAGAACAGCCGACGTGATAGTTGCTGTAATTCATCGCGAACGCAGTCGACCAGCGATTTGCGGACGGTGTAGGAGAGTTCCTGTTTCTCTCGGAACACGGGCTCGTTAGCTCGGGTGCCACGACTGTAGCGCGCCAACTTATAAGAAATTATTGACGCATGGTGAGTGTTGGCAGGCATTTGCGCGATTACTTGTTAATGCTACGCGTGTGAGTAACTATAAAACGATACAAATTTGTTTTCAATTGATTTTTCTTATTGCCTTTTTGCTGACTGAAGTTTAGTGATTCCAAAGGTTCGCTTGGCTTTGTTTATTTTACAAAAGCATTTGTCACTTAGCAATGCTCAAACAAAACCCAGTGGTAGACTGCAGCGTACGATCGAAACAAATATTTATGCTGATATGATTAATTGTAGGGTACCGTTACATGGTAAGCAGGGGTGGTTTTACCCCTATTTCAAACATTTCTGATAGTATGTTTCCAAAATTCCATAATAATTTTATTTATTTTTAAGAGATTGTTATGAGTATCAATTAGCGTTCATAAATTTTGTGTGTTAAGTACAAGTTAATCATTCCAAGTTTGGAACAAATTGAAGGATCGGCTACCGTGATGCATATATGTGGTCATCACTGGACCCATTTTGAAAAAATTTGTTATAAACGTATTTTTTGCTAAATTTTTATGGCAAATATCGATTTCGAGCAAATTCGCTTCAGTATTTACTGATTATCGAAGATTTCGTAATTATCTAAATTACCGTTATATGAGAGGTAGACGTGGTATCTGTCCTTGGCTCAAACGAAATACAAGTTTCGTTAAGACATCTCAATTTTTTCTCGAGTTATCGTTTGCACAAGTGGACGCACGGACGGATAGTCAGGGCTTAATCTTAACTTTTTAACTTAACTTTTATTTAAAAAATCGCTCTTCAACAGTTATTTTTTTACTTTTATTTAATTACTCCTTATTTATAAAAGTCATTCAATATAAATCCGTCACTGACTTTTATTTTTAAAATCATTCTGTTAAAAGTCACTTTTATAAGTCGCAGTAAGCTTTAGTACTCCAGCACCTTCTTACTGCGAAAAATAATAATGACTTTTATACGTATGACTTAAAAAATAAAAGTCGGTGACTGATTTTTATTCATAATTTTTATAAAAAAAAAATATATACGACTTATAATATAAAAATCTAAAACAACTGTTATTTACAGATAAAATTCAAAAATAATTGTTATTTTGGATTTATAAAAAAAAAAAATAAAAAAAAATTGTTAGTTTTTTAATTTTTCATAAAAACTACAAATAAAAATTTTTTTTCAAATTTGCTTCTCGATGCAAAAATAAATTGATTGATTGATATGTATCACTTAGTTGTATAACATTTCTTTCTTAGTGAATTTTTTAAGGACAGTTTTCATCAATAACTGTTATGCTCGGTTCCTGGTTTAATCGATTTATTTTTTATTTCTGAGCATTTATGTATGTATACATTTGTCTATGCCTATCCCGATTGTGAACAAGTGCGTTCCGGCATAAAAAGCAACCAAATCGGGGCATGAACGATATTTCAAATAAATGTCTTAATTCCAGCTGCTGAAGTCCAGCGCCATATAGCGGCCATCAAAAGTTTGTGTCATATAAATACAATAGGGGTATTCTCTGAGTCTTGCAAAGCCCTTGCACGGTGCACGGATTGCCCTGAAAAGTGCAATTATTAAAAAATCTCCGCACTCCCCAGCGAAAGACATTCTGCACTCCTTTTAAGGATGTGGCCATAGATGTTATATCCTGATATCTAGTCGCCAAATAAGGTCCTTGGCTCGATAATGATACGTTGAGAAATGTTCAGGGAAGCTGTATAGTAGCGTGGGCCGAAAATCCGCTTTTTTAGAGCATAATGAACCATATTTTTGCTATTACCAATCAAAATTCTAAAAAAGCGGATGTTCGGTCCACGCTACTATATAGCTTTCCTCCTCCAAATCTATTATCCTACTTCGAACGATATTCTGTTTCAGCGGCTGTCACTTTCCCATTCACCCTTTAAGGCGATGTGTTGCGAGAATGGATCAATCAGAGCCAACTTCGGTACGCATTAATCCGAAGATTGCGGAGTTACCGTTTCCTGCACCAGTAATTTCACATGATCGTCACTTGTTGCAGATAAAATCAAAATTTTGAAAATTAGTTAAAAATGGAATATATATAATTTTAACAGCGCACATTGGTAGCTCCGTGGTTTTGTATATTCAAAACTCTACCTTTAACAGACATCCATTAGGACATTCATATTTATTTAGTGCTGTAAAAACTATATGATCATTGCTTTCGCTATAATAACATAACTCCTATTATCTGTTTCAGGTTTCACTTACTACTGTTGTGGAAGGTTCGTGGGGTTCGCCGGGCGATGGTCAATATCATATACAAACGGATGAAGGACCGGAGCGGTACTTTCGCTTCCAAACGGACAATGGACAATTTCGTAAGGAACGTCGTCTCCAAGACGGTACAGTTGTAGGTACGATCTTATTACGACAAATGCAAACCCGAGAAACAAAACTTAAGTTCCCTCTTTTACCATTTTCGGTTTCCCCATTTAGGCACCGAAGCTTGGATAGACGCCGCTGGATTTCTGCGTCAAAAGGACTACATCGCTGACAAAGATGGTTACCGCATATTGAAATCGAAAACAGTCTTTGTTGGCAATGGCAGACACATCGAGGTTAGTTATATATCTATATAACACAATCACAATCTTTGTCCTAAGTGATATAAATACTAACATTTCGCTTTCTTGTTGTACCCTCAGGATGCCATCAAAGCAACCAAATCTGTGCCAGCCCAGTCCGGCGTTCTTCTTAATGGTCGCACTGGACTCCATCAATCGAATAGCGTGAGTCATATCGAAAAATCGAAGCCAACCGGCTATGTCTACTCCACCACCACTACAACGCCTTTGCCGCCTACAATCGGTGCGCCCGTAGTGGTTCATGATCCAGCTTCAGAAGCTTACGATGGCAAACTGAACTATCTCTCTCCAGCCGAGGCTGCCAATATTGAGCCATCTGGCAAGCTCGGTTTCGATCACTACCCTGATGAGCTGCCTCGTCTTCTGCATCGTGGACGCGTCCATGCTCAGCATAATCATCCGAGTGTCAACTCCTACGAAACTCCATCTAGCAATTCGATAACAGATTATAATCAAATAACTAATACCGCAGCTGCCGTGGCGGCGCCGTCTCTACCATCGCTCGACATGCAGCCGCCTTTACTCAACAAAGGTGCAACTCGCCAACGCTTGCGTCCGATTGCCGTCTACGATCCCAAACCGGTAGCTATATCGGGCGATGAAGCAACCAGCAGCTACGGATATTCTTCACCCACGCCATTTGTACCAGCCACCGCTGGAAGTGGGTCCAACGCGAATGTCGGATATTATTACCAACAATCCGCAACGCAGCCTACACATGCAGATACAGCGGCTAATGCCTTGGAGATCAATCAGCTCGAAGGTGGACTGCTGCCACCATTACCACCGCCGCCGAGTCGCCGTCACCGGCCGGCAGCACTAAGCAGCGGCGCCAGCGAGCCCACAGAGTACGATGGAGTCGGTGCAACTGCCAATGGTTTCCGTTATTTCCTACCACGCCAATATCACGAGGAGGAACAATTCGGGGACGACAAGCGAGCCGGTAGCTTTGGCTACGTGGATCCCTTCGGCATTCGGCGAGTTGTTTACTACAATGCATCGCCCGGCCGTGGGTTTGTCCATAGAAACAATAATCGATACGTAGGTCTGGGAGCAACTCCCTACGATGCTGCTGTCTAAGACGAAGCGAAGTCGAAGCTATGCGAAAATGCGAAGCTAAGCAACAGAACTCTCAAACTGCGAAAACATTTTTACAAAAAACGCCGTCTTAAGTCTAACATCAAACAACCCAGGAACCAATTAACCCAAAGCAGCAATCAACTAGCCAAAGACAAAGGAGAGACTTTGGAGTGATGGCTTAGCAAAATAAAAATGTTTATTTAGAATTACGTTTAATTACTACTGGCAAACAAATTTGCCAAAGAATTGCCAGAGATGAAGAAAAGAAGTGATGGAGATTTAAGATGGAATCGGCCGCCAATTATTGCCTGCGAAGGGGTGTGAAAGATGTGCGCCTAAATGGGATGTATTGTTTGTATATTGAGCACACACACACACATGTGTAAATATGTTTGTGCGAGTATGTATCTGTATCTGTATTAGTGTGATTTTATTTAAAATATTATTATTTTTTAAACGAAATGCAACAGCTGTGAGCTGACAATGAGTAACTGGGGAGTATACTGGGGTGTCGAACGAATACGACGATCGTAATAAGTAATTACTTAGTTAATTATGTATGTATGTAGCTAACGGTATCACTTTCATGTATTAATCTTGCCATATTAACAAAAATCAAAGATAAACACAAAGCAGCTAACATATTTAAAGGGGAAAGAAAACATAAAAAAATAAAAACACATAAAAAGGTATTTAAACTTTATTAATTAAATAATTTAGTACTAGTTGAAATAATTTAACTTAAATTGTAGCTTTAAACTAAACGTTAAACGTAATTTACAAAACTTATTTATGTGTATATGTGTATGTGTATATATTTATGTTAATGTAAAGCTAAATGCGATTAACCTGTGGACGCTATCGATTGACAAATGATTGCAAATCGAGTGACAATTCATAGTCTTATAATTTTATTACTAAAAACAAAGCGTGATTAAATATTTTCTCCACACACACTTCCTGGCCAATAGATGTTTATTGTAATTTAGTAAATTTTCCTTCAGCTTCTAATATCTCTAATAATATTCGATTAACTCACTAGTGGAAACATTTAATTAAACAACACATTTATTACATATATGTATCTTATTTGTATGTGTACGTATTGAAGTATAAATAATGGACATCCGTTGCCAGGAAACCTCCGTTATGAGCAGAAAATGTCAAATCTTGAATGTTGGTAATAAATATTGCGAAATTAAAATACAGTAAAATTGCAGTTTTTTTCTTATTTCCCAGCCGCATGGCATTGAATGGTAATCGTTTTTAAAGTGTGACAAATGCTACAAATGTGTACAGGGTGGGTTTCAGAGTTGTAAATTGTGCTTCACAAAGATGAATATCTAAGAAATATGTCGGGAAAGCAGGTGTTTTTACATTTCATTCAGCATTAAGAAGGAATTTTAGCGAAGGTTTATGTGTCTACTTTACTCCACTGTCACCGACTGTTAAATAATCCTAAACAAGAAGTCGAGATCTTTTGTTGTAGAAATACACTCCGAATGTTTTGTTATAGACGATCCAGATGCCAGTGTTGATCGGAATTAATAATGCGAATCGACAAGCCGCTAGGTCAATGGTTAAATTTCCACGGTCAGTAGATTTTTCATTTAATTATGTAATTCATTCAATTATTACTTTTATTTATTTTTTAATGTAATTATAGTTGTTTTTAATAAAGCTAAGTTTAAAAAAGCTGGGCTATGCCGTAGGCCTTATACAATTTAGCTTCAAGCTACTTATTGCATATTTAATTTTTAGCTAACTTGTTTTCTCTCTTTATTCCTATTTAGTTATTTCCATTTCATTGAAAAACACCCTATCTCAGAATTTTGTTGAGGAACACCCTATCTCAGCACATTTTCAATGTATTTTCCTTTGAGATAGGGCGTGTTTGAACCGAATTCTGCGATACGGTGTTTTTCAATAAAGTTCTGAAATAGGTCGTTCTTCAATGGAATTCTGAAGTAGGGCGGCCTTGAAAAGTTTTCTGAGATAGGGCGTTTTCAAACTAGCTGCGGAGATAGGTCGGTCTTCCGGTAAAAAACACACCATTTTACGTACGTCTGGACGTAGCGAAATAACTTCGCAGGAAATCAGTTCTTATTTTTATTGACATTTCAATGCATTTTCTGGTCTGGATAACTTGTCCAATAGCTTCCCTTCTTTGTGAAGGGGCATACAAATTATACAGAAGGGTAGTCAAATAAACGTAACTGTAGTTGATTTCACCAGGTAGACGGAAATTATTTCTTTTTAAAACGTTAGATCAAAGAACTGTGAGGAAAGCGATTCACCTATTCTACAATTTACTTTTTAGGTACATCTATCTACCTTTAGGTAAAGTTTTCCGAAAATTAGGTACAATTTGATGATAAAATTGTTTACCCCTTATGAAATATCAGCTAAGAAAGAGGACCAGAAACACAAATCTGATTGCTCTTTGTTCAATAAACATACAGCCAAGTCAAAATTAAATATACTTAGCAGGGTTGCATAAAAAATTTCATTCAATTAGCATTAATAATTGGTCACAAAAGTCGACAAAAATGACCTCATGAAAGCATTTATTTTACCAAAATGGCGAAAAGCATCGATTAAATGAAATTCAAATTTTACAAATTTCTTATTTAAAATTTGTTCTCTTTCGAGCCTACCTACTTTTCAGGTGTGTAACCCTGTTTTTACATTATAACTGTGTTAGTAACAACACTGAACTCTTTTTTCGCATAACTGTTGTGCTTGGACGAGTACTGCAAGGCGTGATTCTCGAATTAACTTTAAGAAATTTCACTAACTGACTCTTTATTCCACCGTCAAACTCTTTCTGCAGCTCTTTGTCAGTTAAATCGCGCATTCCCTTTCCCGCTCGCTCACACTCACAATCACAACTTACCAGGCGGTCTCTTATCAATAGAATTAACTCCATAAGCGACCCTAAAAACCGATAAGATAGGCTCTCTTTATGTTCCACAACCTTCGGCCTATGCTATGCTATATCTAGACCACAATCGCCACCAGTAACAGCACCAAACACCGGCACCGGCATTCATAAACAATTCAGTTGTTAAGCGGATTCCACAAAGTGCATATTTAGCAGGCGATTACGCGCATCGCACACACAATGAGATCCACAAATATACTCAGCCTAATCGTGGCGCTCTTGCATATCGCTGGTATAGCAAATACTGCGAATATTCTTAGTTTAGTGGAGGTGTTAACGCCGGATCAACAAATTTGGTATAATTTAGCGAAGTGTGTTATTATTTATAGATTATATTGTAAAATTTCGTAATAGGCACGACGCCATCTACAAGGGCCTCATCGACCGCGGCCATAAACTCACAGTTGTAAGTGGCAGTAGAGGAGTTGCGGTTAAGTCACCAGCCATTGCGCAAATTCATTTGGAGGAAGTAAAGCGAACATTGGATGCTAATGAATCGCCCACGTACTTTGCGAACACTTGGCTGAGTGCCTTTGAACGCGTCATCCACTGGTACGATAAACAGATGAGAATGTGCCAAAGTGTGCTTGCCTCCAGCGGACTACAGCAGTTAATCGAATTGTCTAGGGGAGCTGGAGTGGAAGAGCCATTCGATTTGATTTTATTTGATGCAACGTATGGGCGATCATGTCTGCTAGCGGTGGCACAGCTTTTCGGAGAAATTCCGATTGTGGCAATTAGTGCATCGTATATCACACCAGATTTGCTAAAAGTTGCGCGTGGAGCGCAGATTCAACCGGCTACAGTGCCACATTTTACCACCGTTCACGACGAGCGCATGAATTTCTTGGAGCGTCTACACAACACAGCTGTTTACACAACAGCCAATTTGTGAGTCATCGCGCATACACACATATGTACATGTGTTCATACATACACTGACAATCAAAAGTGAGTGCATGGTGTTTTTTTTTTGTTTAATATTTGCAATGTTTTTCAAGTTAAAATTTTTTATTTTTTTTTTATAAAAATATGCTTAATGCTTTAATTAAAACCAAATAAGTAAAACTTTAAATATTTATTCAGAACTTAGAAAAAGTCAACTATTTTTCGTCTAAATTGTGAGTACGCAGATATATCGTTTTTTTAATTCAAGTGAAGAAAGATCAAGTTTTAAGCGGCTAAAAAATAGTGTTGATTTTTAATTAACATTTTTCCGACGGATTTTGCGGCTTTATTCATAAACAAGTGCAATTTGTAAAATATAGCGTTAATTTTTTTAATTTTGTTTGCAAACGGTCAAGCGCATTTTATTCTTCTATATGGTAAGAGGATCAAAAGGCCGTCAGCAATAAAAAATCTCTGGTTTTATAAGAATTAAAAAAACCGATCTATCTGCCTACTCAAAATTTTTCTAAAAAATTCAGAATAAAAAGGTCAAAATTTAGACGAAAATTCGTTGAATTTTTCTAAGTTTTGTTTAAAGTTTGAAAGTTTTATTTAGGTGGTTTTAGATAAAGCATGAACCATATTTTTATAAAAAAAAATAAAGAATTCTTAACTTGAAAACCATTGTAAATATTAAATAAAAAACACCATGCACTCACTTTCGATTGCCAGTGTATGTATATATTTATATTTATGAGTGAGCAAACGTTATCACTTAAACTGTACTCTCACTCACTTGCAGCTTTCGTCACTTCACTTCGGAGCGTGTTCAAGAGGCAATGTTGGCCAAGAGCGCACAGCTACAGGAAGCGCGCATAGCACTTACGCTGGAAAGCGTTATTGAACGCGTCAAAGTGGTTTTGGTCAACAGTCATCCGGCGATCGACTATATACACGCACTGCCGCCAAATGTTATCGAAGTGGGCNATGTAAAGTTTTTGGCTAAGCTTCATTAAAATGACGCTTGATTCAAATGGAGGCATACTGGCCGTTATGGACTTCTTATAGATAGAGAATGGTATTAATAATGAACTCCGGAAAAATTAACTCATGGCCGGAAGTGCGCTTTGATTGTCAACGCACATTTCCCCAATGCTTTCCCTGAATGTGCTTAATATCGCCACGCTGAAAGTCTCTGAGAGTTTAGAGAAAATAAATATAAACATACGGAAATATTTACGAGTTTCTCTTAACTGCTTCGCTGAGAGCATTTGGGGGATACTCTTTGTGGAGTACACCTCGTTTTCGTCGCATAAATAAAAGGCCTAGAATGTTACGCTGGCTCCGAATCGTAACTGGTATTTATTAAAAACTTTTTTTTAGAAATTCAAAGTTTTTATTTCGAAAAAATATTCGACCTTATTATGGTTGTTGACCTAGACGTCGTAATTTTTTCATAAAAAAATAGCCATCTTACGTCCAACTCCAGTTACGCTGACCACAGTATTTTATCGGAAACGTGTTCCTCGCAGAATCAGTTCAGCTCAATAAAAAATTTCCAAACAACGCCACTCTGTTGTAACTATGAAGAGTTTGTTTAATCGATCACAGAGTGATGTTGTCTAGCAATTTTTAAACGGAATGAGATCAGCTCAATAAAAAAAAATTTAACAAACAACACCACCCTGTAACTATCAAAATGTACAAATCTTTAAAACATTTGAACATTTGAAAATGCATTTACATGTTGTGCCTGTAGTTGAGTACACAGAGTTGATTACTAATATTTGTTAGCTTTCAGGAGGGTCCGGATTCGAATTTCAATAACGGAACATACAATTTGTGACTTTTTACGGGTTTTCCTGTCTGTGAAGTGCAGCAATCTCCAAAAATACATCTGTTTATAATAAACAAAAAGGTCGTCTGGCGCCAAATTATATCGCTCATTTACTTCAATATTGTTATATATCAAAAAAGGGAAACTCGAGAAAAATGGATTTAAAGTTTTGAATTTACATACATACACATACTCCCATAGTAAAAATTAAAACATATTTTTTTGTCCGCCGTTAAGAAAAAAATATAGTTCTTTGTCAAGAAATCAAATCTGTGAATATGCCCTCCAATATGCACACAAGTAAACGTTTGAGCAGCTGTCACTACCACCAGCCTAAGTGGATGGTAAGCCCAGCCTAAAACGGCACTGAGCTCCACAAATTCTTAAGTGAGACTTATTGTGGATTTCAATTTGTTATACTTATCTCTCTTCTCATCTCTCTCTGTCTCGGGAAAATAAACATACATTTCATTGATTTAGAAAGGCCCTAACTCAGTTTATATTCAAATCCAGTATGTATTGTAAAAAAGTCTGCCTATTACTCACTAAAAACCTATTGGAAATAAAAAAACCTACTATAGAATAATTTTAGTTACATTCTTCAGTAAAACCGTCTTTGAACAAAATTCACAGTAAACGGAGTTGATTTGCTATAGACTTTTTGCATCACGCTGCAAAGAAATAAAAATGTTAAATAAGGCCTTTCTATATTAAAGTAACGATTTGTATATAGGTATGTATTGTATATACAATGAACACATACATACATACATATATGTATATATACATATGCACGTAAATCTGTATTTACTCAAATTTTTTTTACTCCTTTGTAAAACAAAGCAGCAGATTTGTTAAGCTTTTGATTTTTCTTTAATATTCGCACACATGGACATACGTACGAACGTATTTACGAATCTTCACCTTCGCAATAAAAACTAAAACACCTACTACATACAGCGCTTCAATGTTTTTAATAGTCAAAAATCATTTGTTATCGTTAAGCCGTCTTGATCGGCGACAGGCTGTAACTCAGCGACGCTTTCGCAGAGCAGCTCAGTATGGCTGTCTTTATCAGCAAATCACTGAGGAAGAGGTGTTTTTCGGCAAATGCAGACCCACCGGCTGCAAATGCATTCGCGAAACCGTTTAACAGCATACCCGGACCACGCGGCCCCTTTGGCCTAGGTGTTCTTTATCAATACTTGCCGGTCATTGGACGCTACTCTTGGCTGGAATTGCATAAGGCGGGTCGCGACAAATACGAGCGGTACGGTTCAATTGTGCGCGAAACAATGATTCCGGGTGAAGACATAGTGTGGCTATACGATCCCAATGATATTGCCACACTACTCAACGAAAGGGAGTTCCCCCAGCGGCGCAGCCATCTGGCGCTGGAGAAGTATCGCAAAGATCGTCCGCACATTTACCGATCGGCCGGACTCTTGCCAACGTGAGTACATAAATACAGAGCTACACACGATTTAATGCAAACAAATTCTGGGTTACAACTGAAAATAGTCACTTACGATTACAGTAACGGTGCGGAGTGGTGGCATTTGCGCTCGGAATTGCAAAAAGAAATAAGCGCACCCAAGAGTGTGCGTAGCTTCCTCGCTGACCTAGATTTGGTGACGCAAGAATTTCTAGAGCACCTACCCTTGCACCAAAGCTTCGATATTCAACCAAAGTTGGCGCGCTTGAATTTGGAACGTAAGTCAGAACTTTAGCGCTTCGATTTGATCGCCTATCTTAATTTATCATAGTTACGTGCCTGATGACCTTCGACGAGCGCCTCAACGCCTTCTCACCCGAAGAGCAACTGCCCACATCGCGCTCCACTAGACTAATGCGCGCTGCGGAAACAACAAACAGCAGCATCTTGCCCACCGACCAGGGTCTGCCGCTGTGGCGATACTTTGAAACGCCCATCTATCGGCGGCTGCGCAAAGCCCAAGAGTATATGGAGAGCGTGGCCATAGATTTGGTGTCCCAAAAGCTCGCCTACTTCAAGGACAGCAAGGAGGTGAGCGATGGTGCCAACCCTGATGGCGGCACCATGCAGCGCAGTTCGTTGATTGAAGAGTATTTGAAGAACCCTAATCTGGATCTGTGCGACGTGGTCGGCATGGCCGCGGACTTACTATTGGCCGGCATCGACACTTCCTCATATACGACCGCATTTGCGGTATACCACATCGCCAAAAACCCCGAAGTGCAGCGGAAACTAAGCGAGGAAGCGTGTCGTGTGCTGCCATCTCGCAAAACGCTCCTAACGCCAGATGCGCTACGCACAGAAGTGCCATACGCCCGTGCTGTGCTCAAAGAAGTCTTTCGCTTGAATCCCATCTCAGTGGGTGTGGGTCGCATACTCAACAAGGATCTGGTGCTAAGTGGATATCATGTGCCGAAAGGAGTAAGTCAAAATGGAAAACGCATCGTTGTTGTATTATAATTTAGGTAATATATAATTGTTTAATTGGTCTGGGTAGACAGTGGTAGTGACACAAAATATGATTGCTTGCCGACTGGAAAAGTATTTTTCCGATGCACTGAAATTCGATCCTGAGCGCTGGCTGCACCGCAAGCAAGCAGTGCATCCCTACCTGGTGCTGCCTTTCGGGCACGGCATGCGCGCGTGTATAGCGCGTCGCATGGCCGAGCAGAATATCATCGTCTTGCTGTTGCGCGTAAGTACCGAAGTGAATGCCTGAGTTGAGGTCTTTAGCATTGATCTGTACGTCAATGGAATTAAATTTGAATTTGATTTGAATCTCATCTTTTTCAATTTTTGGATGGCAGATGTTGCGAAATTTCGAAATTACTTGGACTGGCGACGACGAGAAGATGGGTGTGCGCACACTGCTAATCAATAAGCCCAGCAGACCAGTCAGCATTCAATTGAAACCGAGGGTGGATGGGTGCGGAGATTAACAGATACTTATTTAGGAATCAACTAACGAACGATAAGCTATATAAATGTATCTTTGTGTTTGTATCTTGCCATTGTCGATTTGTAACTAGGTGGAATAAACACAAGTGATTTCAATGGTTTTTTTTCGGTTTGCTGGAAAAGAATTTATAAATTTTTTTCTAAAATACATACATATTTATGTGTGTACTTATGTATGTATGTATATTAGGGTCGTCCTTAAATGTAGAAAGAAAATTTTTTCGTGTCGCACTAGGGGCAAAGTTCAGATTCCTCTACAGAGCCTAAAAAAATTTAAATATTTTTTTCCCATCTAATACCCAAAATCCATTTTACCATAGTCGAAGATATCACATATAAATTTTGGTCTCGATTGGAGTCGGTTAAGGCGTATCGCACAAGGGGTCTAACTTCAGATGACCCAATGAAAACGTGTTAACCGACTGTGTCTGGGACCAAAATTTATATGTGATATTTTCGACCTTAGCAGGATTGGTTTTTGGGTATTAAATAAAAAAATAATAATAATTTGTTGAGTCCCCATAGAGGCATCTGTCCTTTGATCCCTATGCGACACGCCTTAGCCGACTCCAATCGGGACCAACATTTTTAAGTGATATCTGTGATGGTGATATTACCGATTGAGCGGCTGAGAATGAAAAAAAATCGCTAATTTGATTTTTTAAGCACCACCCTAATGTACATATATACCGTTCAGGTAGGTAAAACCTTGAATATCCGCAAAATTTTCAGAATAAATGCATGTCGGTGCCAAGACGTGTCTTCCCGAAGGAGTAAGTTGACATGCATGCGATAAGAGAAAATGTTAATCCAGCCGACTTCAGTAGAGGAAACTACTTAAAAATTTGCTTCAGCGCAGAAAAAAAATCAGGTCTACATAGTTTTCAGGTCAAGCGTTGATGCTGTAGAAGTCAAGGCTCCAAAATACATCTCTACGTAATAAAGAAATCTGAGTTCGGGTAAAACCGACTTTATATACCTTGTTCATGTATTAACAAAATATATGTAAATTTTTTCTGAAACTCGCCGTTCTATAACATTGTGGAACACAAAAAAACCTAGAGTTCGAATATATCATATTTGATGACTGTAATAAATACTTTTTATTAAATCATTTCGTGAATCAAATCCCCTCTGGAATCAGATGTTGTGAAGTTCTACTGGTATATCGCATTTAAACAAAAATAAAATTGAAGTTAAAAAAAAACATTGTATGGTAATCTGCAAGTATTTTAGATAATCTAATAAGTTTAATCCACAAAGCTTCTTCCATGTACATCGCTGCATTTTTGTTGAATTGAGTTAAAGCGTATGCTTTAAATGTCAATGCAGCCAAAGGAAATGCTCTGTAGTGGATTTTAAAAAGCATTGATTTGCTCCAATTTGAAAAAGCACGATTGGTATCCGCCCAAAAACTTTGCAAAAAACTGGCTAAAAACGGTTTGGGAAATCGATGCAATCACCCTGGTCTTGGAGTTGTTATTCAGTTGAAAGGGCCTACACTGAATGGGTGGGGGCCTTTTTCAGGTAGTTTTGCGAATATACCTATATTTCTCATTCAAAAAGGTACACCCAGCGAAAAAAAATCAGGTAAATAAATTTCTATCAATACATGATTTGACTGTAGTTGCATTATTTGGTTAAAGTTACCAAATCCTATGTGGCTGACTTTTTGCTGTGTGTAATGGATTAGACGATTTTTTTGCAACGATTTGTTAACGAATAGCTTTCCGGCAATTTTCCAACAATCTATTCGAAAAAGTTCCCTTCAAACAAACATGTCAATTACATCTGCATACTTATTTAGTACTTAAGGTAATCTAACCATTCTATTGCCATGACTAGCTATCTGCCCTAGTAAACGTCAGTTAATCTATCATTCCAAATTTTACACTGGGATGCAAACGATTGACAATCTATATAAATCAAAGGTTCCTAAACTTTTTTTTTCGTAGATCCCTTTTAAAATGTTACTGGTTTCGTTGGACCAGTTGGCTGTTACAGTTCTACCATATTCCCAAAACTCAACAAAAAATTTGACATTTAGTTCTAACGATGGAAATTTGAGTCGCGGATGAGGTCGAACCCACATTTCGGAGTGATTAAAATACAAAGAAAAATAATATAGTTGAAAGGTGTTCTGCGCCAAAATACAGAAGTCAGTGGAGTCGGTGTTGGACCGCTGAAAGTTATTTTTTTATTTATTGTGCGGCAGGTAAAAGTTATATAATTGGAATCGGGGGAACGCGCGCTTTCTTCTGACACCAATTTTATACCAATTTCTTGGAGCTAAATAACTAAAGATTCCCCAAATTACCAAATTATAATAAAACATAAATAACGAAGCGAAACTTCAACAATTCAAATCAACAAAAATAATATACATAACTTTATATCGAATATGCAAGTTTTTACAAGAAATAGTCGCTGACTTTCTTAAAGCAGAGTTCGTAAAGCCAATAAAATACGCTCTCGCTCTGAGGAGTTATAGTGTTTTCTGAGCACTACAATTTTAAAGTATTTGTAAAAGAGTTAATTCATATTGATGGCATCACTTTTAGTTTCATCGCTCTGAGTTTTAAAGTGATACAAAAAATATTTATCACTCCCATTTTTAAAACACAAAACCTAACAGCTTTTTACGCCAAACTTTTATTTCAGAATCTGACAATATAGAAAAGAGCGAATCTGGAAAAATATATGAATAAACAACTAAGCAATGGGCGAATCAAATTTAGAGCACAAATAAAATTATTGCGCTCCCTGCTTCTTTAATAAGTTTGTCAACGATTAAAACTACATACTGAGTTGTGAAAGCTAGATGAGCCGAAGAGACAAAACGCTCTTTTGCAAGGAGTTAATTAAACCTCAGTTATGCCAGACTTAGACTTGACTTCACTTAAAAATTGTAAATCTGGTAAATGAGCAGCGCGTGTAGTTACCCAAACCAACTTCACTTAGAAACTTGAAGAACTATAGATTTTTGATTTATATGTCATGATTCTAAGTGCGAAGAGAGCCGTGTGATAATATTGCTGCCATATTATGTTTTTACTTATTTTTAATAAAATTCCCTACAAATATGCCATATTAAAATGATTTTTTATATAAATGCAATTCATAGGACAATCGCAAAACAAAATTTCAAATAAAGAAAGAAAATAAAATAAAAACAATCACGATTTGATATGCTTAAATACATTTATCTCAATTGCGACTATTTTCCTATTTTAGCCCAAACAAATTAAACGTTTACAATTTTGCGTATAAAATACTGAGGTTAATAAAAAAGAGAAAAAGCAATAGATGACAGGCAGAGTAGTCGTTTCCAAGCTTCTAGGTAAGTCAAGTCAAGGCTAAGTCTTGCATAACCGGGCTTTAATATATTGAGTGGCATAGGAGCATAAGGTAAATATTGAGGGAGAAAAACGCTCTTTTAGTTTTAAAGCTGCCTTTACCCACACGAGTCGATTTCCTAGTCGATTTTTGTCGTTTAACCAAAAAATCGCCAGTGTAAAGGGCAATTCAACCGTAAAATGTAAGTATTTTTTTTTAGAGGAGAAATCTGAAAATAAGAGTCCTAAAGCTTTAAAATGCTTTTTTTTTAAATCCCAATGCGACCATTTTTCACTAAAATACAGCCAGTCAAGAATCACCGGAAAAGTTTAAATATTTCGTGCTCCCTTAATTTTTTTTTTTTAAGGTACTATCTGCCTTTATTAAATAGGAAAGCTAAGCCAACATTTTTGTTATTTACTATCGGAACCACATACATTTTCGTGGGCCCCCACTTACAACATGTGAACCTCCATTTCTTTTTCACGCCAACGTAGAGCCCCCGTCGACCCCTGGGATGCAACCTGGACCACTTTGGGAATCACTGATCTAAATGAAGCATCAACACACTTTTCGTTGCATTTATGTGTATTTAACCTAATTTGTTATTATTTTATTAAATATATGTCTCAATACAATATATGGAATTCAGTTAAATACATACATACATTTTTATCAGCATAACTTATTTATTAATGTAAAACTCTACTAATGGTATGTGATGTCAGTTTATATTCTTCTGAGACATAGATATTTTTCATTTGTTCTATGTAATTTCTAAACGAATACGTTCAACACTTTTACCTCATTTGCTTGGAATCATTTTGAATATAGTTGGAATATAGCTACATATAGCAAAGTACCATCAATGCAATATTTATATAATTGTATTTTCAATGTATTTTCTACAACTTTTTTTTTTTTTAATGAAATACAAGGCAATTTCCAAATTCATTTAACTTTTTGAACCTATCAACAGTCTAATTATGCGCGTATGGTACAAATTATGAAATACGTGTGTATGTATACATAAATACGTACTAGTCATTATAAATAGCCTAAATATACATACATATGTCCTATGACATACACTACTACTTAACTAAATCATAAAATATAATTGAACTAATAATAACGCGGTATAACAAAAAAAAAAAAATTCGGCAACTTTTTAAATAAGTCAGTGCGAGTGTTTGAAATTTTTTCGAACACTTTGAAAATTTCAAATTATATATTCCCGAAAATAATTTTCGCAAGACTACTCTACAATTTTAAGTTGAATTAATCCCACACAGCTATGATCTCAAAAAATTTCGTTTTACTGATGCACAGTGTAATCAAAAACAAAACACAGTTGAGTAAACCAACAGAGTTTTCTACCCGTTTATGTGTCTGTTATTACAGAGTTACATATATATGTATATTCTATAACACTATGCTGTGAAAATTCCCTAGAGATGTACAGTTAGTTGTCTTCAATGTTCTACCAATAAGTGGAATAAAAAATAAATATCTTCGCTACACTAATTAGCCTTGCCGGCGTTCACAAGCAATGGCTGACCTGACGCTGCGCCTTTCTTTTGTTGCTCTCTGCTTGCTGCATTCATCGGTCACAGCTTCTTAGCCTACATACATATACATTAACTACTGCATACAAACTTAAGACTAGCTTACTGGCGACTGTTTTTAGAGATACATACATACATACATACATAAACTTCGTACAAAAACACGTTCAATATTACACTATAAGGACTTTGGTTTTTTCAGCACACACACGTGCGTAGACATTTGAATACAAACACAATACATACTACATACATACATAAGTATACATATGTATGTAGAGTAGGGTCTCAATGGAAGGGGTGGTACTACGAACACCTACGATCTACTTATGAGCCGCGCGTTCAACGCAACTACATCTATGAGTATAAGTTCATCCTGTCGATGAGCTTCGAAAAAACCGCGCGCGAGTATTTCTTTTCGTCTCCATTCCTTTCACATTCATCTACATTATTGTGCACTCTGTTCTGCCTACTGAAATGGTAAGCTGACGGGCAACCCGGGGCCAAACTGCTTACAACTCCAGCAACAGAACCTCCTCATGCTAGAGTATATTCAGCGTTGAAGAGTCCATCATCCGGTCGTCGTATAGGCTAAGCGTCTTCGAGGCTCGCACCTTGCGCACAGATGGCGGCACATCACCTGGCGTTTTGACGCGCTGACTGGGATCTCGTAGCTTTTCCGTGCTGCCTCGGCCACTGAACACCTCGCGAAACATTTCAAGGCTCCGCTGCCGCCTAAAGAGGATATCTGTATTGCTGGGCGCTTTGAGGTGACCGGTCGAGTTGGACACCGGTGCAGGCGTGGTTTCCTTAGGGCTGCTGTTCGTAGCGTTTATGGTATTCAGCTCGCCTTTACTCACGTTATTATTATTGCGGTTTATGTGTTTAATTAGACTAGAAGAGAGGGAACGTGGCACCACATGACATGGCGTGCTAGTGCGTTTGTCTACTTGCTGAAGGTGTTG